AAAGTCCATCTACAAGTTCCAGAAGTCTTCCACCTCACTGAAGGATGTGAGTACAGAATGACCTTATTTTATATCAGTACAGAATGAATGTATTTTATAATATATTTTCTGTTATTTTATATTGCATTTTATTATTAGATATTGTGTTACTTTATGACAATCATGAGATGCGGTTGAACACCTATCCTCCTACAGCACTCGCCCTTGAAGTCTGCCTAGTTGAGGGGGCTGGCAAACTTCAATGGCGAATATCGTCTATACGTATATGATCTTATTTTATATTACACTATACAGTAATGCAATTTATGTTATTATGGAATATTTTGTTAAATTTTGTGTTATTCTCGTATATTATACTATATACCCGTACCATAAGTCATGCCATGTGGTTGAACGCCCGCCCGAGTCTACAGTATAAAAAAAAAAAAACCCTCAAGACTTTCATGAATTTTATCAGTGCCATTCTCTTCATTATAGTGTTGGTCTCCGCAGTACTGTACTTAACGGGGCGGTGTGGAGGTAAAATTAACTAATTCCAATAAAATTAACTTATAATATTGGAATGTTACTTTTACCGCCACACCGCCCCGTTAAGTACAGTACTGCGGTGTCCCTCAGGACTCATTCAGTTTAAAACTCTGGTTGAAACATGACGGCCCTCTTCAAGGGAAGATGTTGTTTAATAATACGGGCATATGTCTTTTTTAGTATTTTGTGTTTCTCTACCAAACTAAATTATTCCATTGGAACCACTTGTATTTAGTGCGAATTAGGTTTAAAGTGACCTCTCTTGGAACCTCTCTTGTGTTATTTCAACGTTCTACTGTACTTAAACAGTTGGCTCAGAAATTTTTGAGCTAGGAGATTGTGAACATATTGGTGTTTTTTTTTCTTTCATGTTTATTAGAAGTAACAAAAAATAGTTATATACTTGTATTATTATTTTATTTTGGCTTATGTTGCAGAGCAATCAGTTACGAAGCCAAAGATATACGTATGGTTTATGTCAAATTCAAAGTTGGGGGGGGGGGGAATTGATAAAGCCAAAATTTAATCACCATGCACTGGGGGCCTCAGGGATGTGATCTTGGAACTGGAAAACTTAAAACTTATCTTGTGCATGAGTGTTAAATAAAGGTTTTACTGTAGTTCAGTATTAAAAAATATAATTAAATGTATTTAATTGTCTTTATCACCCTGAAAACTTCAACCAGTTTTGAAAGTTAAACATGACATAGGATTAGGAACTTGATGGGAAATTTATTTAGAGGTAAAATAAAAAATCCAGGAGAGGCTTTCATCCTTCAGTATTAATTTCACTATACTGTAGTACTATACTGTATATAAAAAAATAATGAACATATTAGGTCACTTGTGATGATGTAAATGCATGCAAACAAAAATTCTGTCCTTTGGTGAAGCGTTGCAGTATTTTGCAAAATTTCCTCATTGTACTAAAATAATAATTCAAATAAGTAAACATCATTAAACTACAGCATACAGTATGTACAGTACAGTATACACATATGCAGGCAGACCCCAATTTATGAGAGGGACTCATACCTAATAAACCTCATGCAAATAGATTTTTTGTAAATTGATGCACATTTTCCTGATATGAAAGTAATGTTCCCAAGAAGAAAAAATTAATTAATAAATAAAATAAAAAATCCCCAATACTGTATTGCTTTAAAACATTGGCATACACAATTATTATACAGTACAGTACAGGGTAATAGTGTAGGGTTACATTGTAGTGAATCTCTCCCCTACAATAGTACAATAATAAACACAATATGTGAAATACTGTACATCAAGGACTGTAGTGATAATTTTATGGCTGTATGTAAAGAGAAACTGAACTACTGAAGTAAAGTGAACAGTATGAAATGTTAAGTCAATCTGAGCAATACTGTTTTACTCTCGTATGTACTGCTCTGTAATACAATGAATCTCATTACCTAATTGGAGCACAGCACACACACACACACACAGGTCCAAAGTTACCAGCCAGCAGACACTCACTCACCCTCCCTTATGCATTGTTGACAATATCCACATTTCTTCATTTCATATTCCACCTTTCCTTTATAACTCTACACCTTTATTGTACATAATTAGTATGTACAGTGGTCCCTCGGTTAACGAGCGCCTCGGTTAACGAGATTTCGGTTAACAATTTACCTTCCATAAGATTCTTAACTTCGGTTAACGAGCAATCCCTCGATTAACGAGTTTTTTACGAGCCGACTTCAACATGTTTTCGCCTGAATTTGGCGGTCCACCAGCTGTAGTATTAGTCCGCCAATACAGTAATCGGTTTTAGGGCTTAAATTCCTTACTATTTTAGTAAATATCAAGAAGTTTATACTATTCAATAATTTTAAAAGTTTAATATTAACTTTTTTTAGTCATTTTAACAATTATTGAACATAATTGAAGGTAAAGAAACTAGTTTCTGGCGTGCCATCCAGCCTGTTAACACACCAGACAGGCGTTAGTCTCTCTCTATTTTCAGTGGAGGTAACATCTTGCTTGAGACTCTCTTCAACTAAACGCTTTTTTTCTGTGTTTCCAAGCAAATTATTGGTCATTTTGAAATATATTTTACATATTGACAATATATAATGCAGTGCAGTGTTGATTTAAAGAAAATAATCTTGAATTACACCAAGAGAGCTAAAATTTTATGGGTGAAATGGTGCCATGGGGTGACTTCTCTTCCACCCCCAATGCCTTCTCTTCTCCCTTCTCCTCCACCCTCATTCTAATTCCCATCATCATCCAGGAGCCTTCTACATACACACCTCAAATTAAGTGTACTTTTCTACCTTTTTTGTTGAATTAAGGCAATTTTCGGTGAGCTGGAACCAATTACCCAAAAACCCATTGAAACAACGGTTTCGGTTAACGAGCAACCTGCTGGAACGGATTGTGCTCGTTAACCGAGGGACCACTGTATAGTAAATTTAAGAATATGAAATACGTTTCTTTTACATAATTTCCCACATAGACTATTACTAAATCAGGCACCTGACTCAGTGACTGTGTGGTGAGTGAAAAATCTATTTGTCTGCATATGAGTTTGAGACTAAGTTACATGGTGACTGTAGAAGAATAACTAAGACTTAATTAACATTGTGAGTGTTAGAGAATAATTAAATAAGTAAACATACTGGGACCCTGTAGTAAAAGTAACTGCATTATTTTAGCATATTTTCATTATTACAGTCAACCCTCACTTTACGCGGTACCACATTCCGCGTTTCCACGTTTAAGCGGTGCCCTGCCGGAACCTAACATGCTAACATTCCGCGGTGCGTGTACCCCATTATGCGGAGAGCAGCTGGCGAGCCGCGCCATTTTTGGATCCAAACCTCCCGCCATCCGCCATGTTGTGTAAGCGGCGCGAACATGGTGCGCACAAGGTCGCCCAGTCATCAAAACATTACTGAGTTCTTCACCCGCCACCCACCACAGCCGGCCCAAGTCAGTGATAGTGATAATTATAGTGAGGATATGGACTTTGGGGGGTTTGACAAAGAGGCCCTGCAAGCCTCTGTGGTGGACAGTGATACAAGTGATACAGGTGAGGGCCAATAATCTGCCCTCTACCTCAGAACCAACCGCCCATCCCCGTGTGCCCAGCCATCTTTTCTACTAATGTAAGTGTTAAAAAACCTAATATTATTGATATTTCTCTTAATTATTAATTGTGTGTGCATACCATCATAAAGTTAAGGTAATATTTTTACTACAACATAGTTGTGTGTCGTCAAAAAGTGGAGTTTGGGGGTCGGTCCGGACTCTATTTCAATTAATCCCATATGTTATGTTATTCACTTTACGCGTTCCTCTCTTTCCGCGGCACCCTGTGAGTTACACTAACCGCGTAAAGTGAAGGTTGACTGTACTAATTATTTTTCCCATAAATTTGGGGTTCCACTTGTAAATCAGTGTGTGGCGCAAAATTCCTCTTCCCTTAACTGTGAATTTTCGTAAATCGGGGTCTGCCTGTACTGTATATGTAAAACAGTAATAAGACATTGGCTAATATTGCAACTCATAATCTGACCATATTGCACTAACTCATGTAGCAACTTTATATATAATTATATGACAAAGAAAATCAAAATACAGTACTCGTGTAATATTATCAGGAAGACACGTGGTGTGTGTGTGTGTGTGTTTCAAAACAAGTACTTTTTTTAGTTACTGTGTTATGCTTATCACTTAATAACCAAATGGAACTGATGTACAAAAAAGGCATTAGCACACGGTAGGTAGTGTGAATACTGACATAGTTACTGTACTGGCACTCATAGGAACTAATTTACATTCATATTACATGTAAGAAGAGCAGCACCAAACACTGTACATTAGCCGAGTTCAGTACAGCAGTCCCCCTTTATTCTTGTGTGACTCTCCTTGCTATGACACAGGAAGGCCAGTGTCAAGAGCAACACTCACTACCTAGCTGCCTTACTATAATGTATACTGTACATCATTCAACACACATCGAAATCAACCACACGTGTTTGTACCTTTTTTTAAGACACCTAAATGTGCCACAACTGAGCCAATTTATATAAATAAAACTATAATTGTACTAAATTAACATCCATTATGATTAACTACTTTTATTCTAAAAAGAATATCTTATAGAAATGAATGCCGTAGTCTCAATTCTGTAGCGATGTGTAATACTGTTTTAATACTACTCCTTATCAATCATTTATGAGAATGTCAGTTTGGCATTCTGATTTCAGCGTCCATTAAAGCTTTTTCCCTAATTCAAAGCTTACTTTGTGCTATCAGCAGTGAATTGCATTAAATTATTCATTCATTCATGCAATACCATGATTATTAAGATTTCTTTCAGGGGTAGAGGACCTCACTTTGGGAACTGGTGATACTATTAGGTATATTTAATGACCAGTAATGTGTGGGCAAGACATTACTCCTTCCTTGAAATAGAATTTGTCAAATAAAACAGCTTGACAAGTAAGTTTTTTTACTAAAGACTTGACATGGAAACAATTGCTATAGGAATCTGTCTTAAAGGTATATTTTGTATGGCCTTAGTCATAGTTTCTTTGGGGATTGTAATTTTGTTGTGAAGAAAAGAGAAGGGACTTAGGGTGATGCAAATGGAAAATTATGCTGGAGACATTAAAGGTGGGGAAAAAATGGCAGGAAAGCACAGAATGCCTTTAGTAATGATAATACTGTACTGGGGGGGGGGGATATGTTCAGACAGTACAGTAGATATTCAGCATTAGGAAGACACATTTGCTGGGAGCAGGTGTGTAGATGGGAGAGAAAAGGAATGTAAGACTGAGTGGTGTGGTCTGGGTACAAGATGTGGTATTCTTCACATCACCAGGGGTAAAAGAACAAGCTCAGAATATCTCCCTTCCATGGTAGGTCACCCTTAAGAGAAAACCTGATAACTACATCAAGGTCACCAACAATGTGTCAAATAAAGTACACAGTATTTGATATATCCTTACCTAATGATTATGGGGAAGCAAACTACTCTTAGTACAGTACAGTACTTTCATTTCCTAGATACTGTACTGTAATTGATCAAATAACAATTATACAACAGAAGAGAATTGATGCCTAAGGGTCAGTAGTCTTCAAGGGTTCTGATTTGATTGTGGAAACCTGATAGGCCTGGCTCCTGTTACATAGCCTAAGGTTTGGGAAGTGTTTTATTATCATCTGCAGGTTTAAATACAGTTTCAGGCTTCAAATTAATTCCTTATAAAATTTCCATGTACAATATATCTTCATAAAAGGGAATTTATTTAGAAACCCCTGACAAGTATTGCTTAAGAGCCTGCATATCTTCTTCAAGATTTAGTATCTTTCTTTCATTATTTGTGATCACTTTATCCACTGTAATCTGCTTCTCATAAAGTAACCTCTTGAGGCGACTCACTCTTCTCTGTAGTTTGATCTTCTCCCCATTGACTTCATTTATTTTCTTGGTCATATCCTCACATTTTGCCTTAACTCCTATTAGCTGGTGTTCAAGTTCATACATACGTTCATGAGTTCCTTTAATAATGTCTTTTTGAGCCTTGATAACCACGTCTCTTCTATCTACCCTACGCTGCAAATGTCTTATCTTGTTAATGGAGATTCTCCTTAAAGTTCTATGTAGAGCTTCGTTTTGTTCAGCATATTTCTGTTCCATTTCTGTCATCTTCTGTCTATCTGCAATATATGCTTTGAGTTGTGCTGACAGGTTCTGGATCTTTTCAAATGACTTCTCATATGCATCACTCAGTAATTTTCTTTTAGTTCCCATCATTTTAAGCTGAACTTCTCTTTCTCTATACTCCTGTGTTATGGTATTCTGAGTCTCCATCGTCTCACTCGGTTCCCTTTTCATTACCTTTGCTTCAATTGTTAACTCAAGAACACAATCTGTCATTTTTCTTTTAGCTGGCATGGGGGAAGGAAGTTGCGAATGATGTCCAGGAAGTGTGAATGATGAGTCAGTCAAGGGCTCACATTTTAGCTGCTTAAGGTTATCATTATTTTTCTTATCCTCTTGGCATTTTACTGTACACTCTGAAGTTGATGTTGATGCTACTGGAGATGTCATCATTGAGAACTTCTACAGCTACCCATAAACTCTGAAACAATTAAAGAAACTCATCAGTGGGGTCAGGTTGGGCTAAACTTTTGGAGGATACGTCCGCTTGTAACAGCTACACAAATGCCCCCATTGGTCACAAAAGTCCCATTTCAAAGGCTGAGAAAAATCACCAAAACTGAAAATTCAAAGACGAAACAAACAATGAAAATCTATTTATTGTTCATCTTAAAATGGATATAAAAAAGTAATTACTGGCCCTAAGTACAGCACTGTACTTAACATAGTATTACCATTTTGCGAATAAGGTTCTATCATAATAGCTCAAGTTCTGTGAAGTTCTTATAAAATGAGAATGAACTCACATGTCAAAGCCAACCTAACCTCACCTAACTTTCTTAGAATGTTTCTTAAGAAAATGGGTAAGGTTAGTTTGGTTCATATTGTCTGCCATCATAAATGAGGGACTGATACTTAAGATTACAGTTTGTAACCAATCTGGACAGAACAGCTTGTGTGTATCTTCACTCAGGAAACCCTTAACCTACACCAACTGAGGCACTAATCAGATAACCAGGGTAGTCATTTCATGTGCAAGCAACTTTAACCCCTAAAATGGGATTAGAACCAAGCTAATATTATTCATACATATGGAAGATATAAAACTTGTACATTAATAGCATTATGCTTGGTACTGATACTAGTAATGAAATTCTGGGGTTAAAAAAATCAACCAAACCAAATCTAACTTTACCCAAGTCTGAGATTTTGCATTGTTTGATGAAAAAAAAGGTGTTTATTTTCATGACAATGGCAGTCTGCACCACACTTTGGACACTCCAGAAGTTTGCAGACCACCATAGCCCTTCAAAATGTCAATAGCAGCCGAGTTATTTACAAAAACACGTTGAATGGTTTGTAATTCAGATAAACAGCACCCAATGCACAGTGAAGATATCTTACAAACATCAACTCCAAAGCCTGAACATGAGCAAGAGTATCATGTACCATCGTCACTTCTCCTTATTGGCGGATTTTAGTCATGTGAGTCAGAAGCACACAATGTGTACCACGAACGCTTATTTTAAGTGAAAGAAAAAAGAAAAAATAACTCAAATAATATAATTTGCGGTATTATGATCGTTTCAGTCATGCAGCGAATTTTAGCATTTTTAGGTTAAGTTAGGTAAGGTGAGGTTGAAATTATGTTTGGTAAAATTTCACTTATGCACCGGTCTTTGTTTGGATATTAAAGATATGTTTTCCCTATGTTATTTGATGAGTTTCGAATGAATTTGATACTCATTTCAGCCGAAAATCAATAGTTTTTTTTGTTTTAGATACACCCCCCCTCTACCCATCAATCTTAACGAAAATTTTTTTTTTTTTAGAGTAAATCACATAAATAAAATATCAACCACAGGGGTACCTAGTGACAGCACTAGGATCCCGCTTCCTCTATCAAGGAATAAACAATTGAAATTGAATATCAACCAACCAACAAAACCAAACCTGACCTAACCTAACACTATTTTTCTGACGAAACTCTACAATTGACTTAAAATAATCAATCGCAATGTCGGCACAGCTCTTTCCACCTGTTCAGCCATATCTGGTTATTCTGGTACTGAAAAATCAAATCTCCGCTCCCGACGCATTGTTCATTGGCTAAGACAAAAAAAAAAAACTCTCACACTCCCCTGCACATGCGCTGTAGACGCTTAAAAAACCAACACGGAGGTAAGGAGCACTGCGTGATGGGTGGTCAGACCTTCTCTGTGAGACGTAAACAACAAATGGCGACTTTTGTGAATAACCAAATCTAATAATATTGAAAAATTAATAACTCGATTATCCTTTATTTCCGGCGGAAATATCATAGAAGAAAAAGATCTTAAGATTGTCAAAACATTACGAAAAACATATTAATAACAGCGAAAGAAAGACCGGTGCTTGACTGAAATTTCATTTTATGTTTTTCCAATGTTTTCTGATGTGTTTTGATCGATTATGACCCACTTCCAAATAGGTGCATGACCAAAACGATAATTTTTCCAAATTTGCAACGAAAATGCTACATAATATTCTTTATCTATTTTTTGCTCGATACCTCCATATACACGACTGACCCGCGGCCGAGTTTTCATAGAAAATTATTATAAAAATGCTGTAATTTCACTGAGGTTTATAGGACACTCATAGTTTGTGCAATGTGTTAAAAAGTAGTTATTTCTAAATTAAACCTAACCTTAGTTGATATGAAAAACAAGCAGCAGAAGCATTGTTAGAAGACCTCACCAACCTAACCAAACAAACCTACCTAACTTCATAAGTCCGTCTACCGGACTCCCCTGGTATATTAAACAGAAAACTTATTATGATATGATTAATTTTACGTTTTTTGTGGATGTGAGAGCATGAGGTGGCGGAGTGTTTTGAAATGTCAATATGATTGGCTGTTTACATCCTGGGATGAGACATTACCACCGAGAAGACAAAGTAGTGTGCCTAGGTGCCTAATTATCTACCAAACGAAGCATTTGCACAAGAAATTATTATATCAGAACTCACTGAGGCAAATATAGTAAGAAAAAAGCGGTGGCGGGTCAGTCATAATATTAACCCACATCAATATCGGGTTTCAATGTTTTCTTCTACTGAATCCTAACACAAACTATCACTGAATTTTAGCACAATACCAACCACTGAGCACTGCTATCTGCGCCTAAGCTTGAATATTACTTACTTTGGTAATAATGAATGGTTTGTGCCGACTAAAATCAGAAATAGGTAATGGCTCTTCATCTCCTGGAGTTACAAAAGGTATCATCACGTAAATCTTGGCCAAACTTAAATGGCGTCAGGTCTGATCACCAACTGGGCAACACTAACAAGTCAAACATTACCAACAAACTATGAACTGCCATCGTCAATACCAACCTCACAATAAGGCAGCTTTTCTCCTTCTTCTTCACTGAGGTAAAGATCTACCACTCTTTTCTTCCTTATACAAAATAACTGGACTACTCTTGTTGTACCGTCACAATAATCTTCTCACAACAAAGCAATTTTATCCCCAAGATGTAAACATTACTAAGAGGAGCCACTCACCGCCTGTGGCCATTAGCACATCTGGTGGTTGGTGATGCTACTAAATACTATGATAGAAAACGTAAAATAAGGCGATAACATATATATATATTGTCTGAGACGTCTAATTTAATTTCATATGAATTTAAAAGTAAGAATTTATACAGTACTTCTTACATATATAAGCATTTACAGAGGATACAATGTAAAGTAATAGCAATACTGTCTACAACAAAAAGCATGCCGATAACTTGCTCAATTTTGGGGTGGGGTGTTTATCTCAAATTAAAATCGGATATAACTTTCCATCTCTTTCCGAAACAAAAAGAACTGAGAAGATTAAGGATTCATTTGTGCAAGAGGAAAGCAGAAAATGCCCTAATATGCAGCTTTCATTCTGAGGCCAGTGAATGCGAGAAGTTGAAATATAAACTGCTTGGACTACCATATAACAATACCAAGATGACTTGTAAGGATTAAAAATGGATCAATACCAACATAACGACTGTCATGGTTAAAAGGTAAGCCTATATTATTTCAGCTACAACGTAAAAATAGGAGTTTTATAACACAGTGTAGTCTCAGGGGATTATGTGTCAGAAATTAAACATACCTCAAAACAATTACAATAACTTATATATTTCGAAGACGCAGCTATATACTATGCACAGTTTCTTTTGAAGGAGAGTCACTTTTACTTTCTTCATTTGAAAGTTTGTAAAAGATAATTATCATCAGATAAAAACACTGTAGTAGAGTGCTGGAGGGAGGTGTAGCTGCCGAGCGGGAAAACGACAAATAATCACGATTAGTCATAATTTATTTTAACATCAATTGGTTATCAATAGGTGTGGTGGTAACAAAACCTCTCCTCTATTGTAAGCTTACACATTGTGGTTGTTGCCGTCATGACCCTCTTGCAGACTATAAACATTATATTATATAATTAATTATGCTATTACTTTATCCTCTTCGCCATTTGGGTGGTCGGTCACGTCTCGGTTACGCATGCACTGGCTCCTGAATGTACTGTACCAAGGTCTAGAGAATACATGTATTTTCTAGAGTTAAGAGCCGAGACCTTGGCTAGTACGCCCCGGGCATGGTGAAACTATGGGTATGTTTCTTTACACCAGTTGCCTCCGTCTACCCAGCAGTAATTGGGAACCTGGATGTTAATCCCATAAATAAACACATAAATGGAAAAAAATCAAGGAAGAAACGATATAGGTACGCATGTTTATTGATAAGTAAGTAGTGTTTCTTTTAACACATTCTTGGCAATAAAATAATTTTAGTAAGCTATATGAGAAAACCTAATAGCTGATCTCAGTGACTTTAATTAGACCTTCTTTCGGTAGTGGTGTTAGTGGTGATTAAATGCTATAATATTAGATATATTGTATATTAATGCTGGTAATTGTACACGTATATAAAAAGCCACTATGAATTTTTTTAGCAGAACTTACTGAGGCTACCGGACATTACGTGATCTCGGCCAGAAAATTAGTAGTTTACCAGTGACCTCACGAGCTCCTAGAGATCTTAAGTTCTACAGACCTTCAGGGGCGCACCCAGAAATTGAGTAGGGTGGGTTTCCAAATTACTGAGAAGTCTGGCGAGCGTAGTGAGCCCTTTCAGCTGGGGGGGGGGGGGCTGTAAGCCACCCGGAATTTTTTTTTTTAAATCTGACCAATATTTGACGCCATTTGCACTGAATCTTTGGAAATAATCTGGGGTTACAGATGGTGTAATTTTCGAGCAATTGTATTATAGCTAACTATAACATTAATAATATACCAGCACGAGACTGATATGACAACTTACCTTTTCGAGAAAAAACGATTGATAGCTGTTTGCTGACTGGTAGACATAGCTGTGGCATCCAAAGTAGATGTAACTACACCAAAAACTACATGTGAAGTGAGGACGAGAGAAGTGGGAACGTGTTCCCTGACCCTGCATGCTCGATTTCCAACGCCGTATTATCGTACAATACAGTTATTTGAAGCACACTTGCGAAATCATCAAATATGTGAAAGTGGATGGAAAAATACTTTATAAATATGTAAAATCTATAAAAAATGTACAACGTAGATGAGAAAATGAAAAACAAACAAACATTAAATCTCAATATTTCGCACTGTGGCAGGTGGCAGTGCTGTATATTAAGTGCATTCAGATGCATGGGAATGGCAGAGGTGGTGGAGGTTATCGTGGCGTGGGGTGAGGTCAGGTAAGCTGACCCAACCTTCGTATTACAAAGGTGTCGCCAGGTCAGGTAGGGGTTGGCCGCCCCATGCAGTACCTGGAGGGGGAGTTTCCGGGCAACCAGGAAACCCCCCTGGGTGCGCCACTGACCCTGGGGGAAAACAATAGAATTTTACTTAATAAGCTGATTTCTTCTCATATTTGTAACTAATACCAAGACTTTTCTCAAATGATTTTGCTCTTGATAAAGAAGATATATAAGGCACTCAAAATGCTACTAGAATCCGCCAACCTAACACACACGAAAGAATAACAAATATTTGTTAAACTATCACTAGCTGGTAACGATGTGAGGCGAGTGTCACTGTTGTGCTTGATTAAGCCGCTCTTGCCTCTGTAGTCTACAAGAATCTTAAGTCACCTACATACAGAAACAGTTAGTTATTTTGTAAAGCACTTCTTTATGTTATCTCCGTTGCTTTTCTTTTGGAGGATTTTTTTCCTTTGGGGAGGGGGGTATTAATACGTAGAATGTGAATACACTTGGGAGGCAAGGAAATAAATAGTGTGATTATTAAATATGAAATAGAATACACTCGCTAATCTTCACTTCAAAATACCCTCGGATCAGTACACTGTGGTTTGTAGGTCAGGTGTAGTTGGCGCTGTTAATAACAAAGAAAAGAGCAAACATACAATAATGTGTTTTTCATTAATAATCTTATTAGTTTTTCTGGACAAAAAACTTTTCTTTAGTTAAGGTTTCAAGAAATTTACCATTTGAAAAAGAGGAAATAGGTTATTGTAATATATATATATATATATATATATATATATATATATATATATATATATATATATATATATATATATATATATATATATATATATATATATATATATATATATAAAGTTACGAGATGATCTCATGTTGTTGGTATACTTTACTTTTTTACTTTTATCCTCCTCACCACTGATCGGCTCGTTAACTCTTGGGTCGATCGGTCACGTCATCTCGTTTACTGTCTATTATATGCGCTCTCTAATGTATCTCATGTAAACTGTATTAAATGTTAATTGTGTGTATGGAATCTTAATGTTATGTGCGGGAATGGCAGGAAATATGAGTCAAGTAATGCGAGGGTACGTCACGTTCTTCAACCAATAAAAAACTAAGTTTTTAAGCCAATCAGAATGTTCTTGTAGACTCGCGAGGAGGGCGACCCCGGTGCGTAACTGAGTGGTCCACAGACTCCACACTGTTTACCAGCGCCTCGCTTAGGTCTGATCTGCCACGGGTTGGTCTGGGAAGCCTGCTACTGTACAGTATACGGTTGGTTTCACTCCATTTATCATTATTTCTGTGTTGTACTTAAAGCTTAAAATTCTCCCATGAATCTTCTGCTCATTATTTGGCTGTAAAAATCTATTATTTTGTTGATTTGGTATTTAATTCATTGGTGCTTCCCCGTTTGGAGTACTGGCACTCCGCCTGGCCCCCGAAATACGCTTGAGACTGTCAGATATAGATATGGCGGGTCGGTTCGGGTCGTGTTGCGTCTCTGTAACAAAGCGTGTTCGGCATTCGGGCCTTCGTTGTTGAGCGGCAGAAAAGGACAGTGATTACATCAGATCATCAAGATCGTCTTAGTGATGTGAAAGTGTAAATTAATGTAGGATTTTTAATACTAGATGCGATTGTATTTTTGAAAACTCAATCTCCACCGAGTTGGAGTTACAGCCCAGGTCAAGAGGCCTACAGCCACAAAATCATGGCCATATAACAGCTTTTATTTTTTTTACGGAGTTGTGGTCATGGCTGTGATAAAGGTCAACCAGGGAGTGTAGTACTGTGCCTTTAGTTAAATCAGTTCATAGTGTCATCAGTGACTGCGAAAGAGGTTGTAAATAACTTAAAGTGAATACAAATTGGCAAGCAAGCTGGTAAGGCACTACTGCCAGCAGAAACCAAGTAGTGTCATAGGTGCCACAGAGACTTTTATTTTATTTTGTTTGTGTTCTTTCTCAAGGACTGAAACTGTGCCTACAATACACCATTCACAGGGAGATACAGTGTACACAGTGATAGCACAAAGAGATATAGTGGTTGATGAGAACGGGAAAATAGAGTATAAGGAAATAATAGTTAAAAACAAAATCAAATCAACAAGCTGGCTATCCTAAAAGGTACTCTATTACCGCCCCAAAGAAAATTTAATTTAATATTTGTGTTTCTAAAGGACTGAGTGGGCGTATATAATCCGTTATTCATAGCAAAATGCAGTGTACATGTAAATATCACATAAATACCGACAAATCACCGAAGTGAACTGAAAAAAAAGACAACCGAAAAGGCTGAGTATGATATGCGATTACTGCAGGGGGACGGCGGACATACTGTAGATGATACAGGCCTGACCCTTGCTGCGTTTAGGATGTTGCAAACTGCCGTAAAGCATGAAGGCTGTTGCTAGTACTGCCCTGACTGTGTAGTCAAGGTGAAAGAGGCGATTACAAGCCATAGGGGAACGAGTTCCCTAGGGACGAAAATAGACGAAGCTGGAGCCTTGCTGGTTGCCAAACTAGAGCAAGTTGGGAAAGAGATCCTTGCTAAGACTGAGGAAGTAGCCGATAGAAGAAGTGTGTCCTACTGTTAGGGGAGAGGAGGAACAACGGGAACGTTTCCAGCGCATGAACAATGTAATAGTTTTTGGAGTCCCTGAGAGCCAGGCGGAGGGAACTGAGAGTAAGATAACACACGATAAGATGCAGTTTAAGAATATTTGTACCGAGGTTCTGAAGATGCCATCAACTCCTGTAGCGTACTGTATGTGGCCAGTTGTCTATTGTCTCTTTGTATGGGCACACAAACGTACGTACATGTAGATATCTCACACTCAGGAATGAGGCAGAATAGAAACTCACAATGCACTTTCTGTATATATATTGTTGTACAGTGCAGTGCTAAGGAGTTACTAGGTGAGGAGTAGCTTGCTCAGAGGTCCTGTTGGGCGAGGAGCTCTCTGAGGGAGCTGGGTGGTGAGGCGCTGTTGAGAGGTCTTGCTGGTCCAGTAGGTCAGAGTAGAATGGTCTCCATGATGATGATAATGAAGTAGTGGCAAATAA